CTGCTGGTGGAGCCCTGCCGCTGCCCCTGCGCGGGGCGAGGCCCTGCGGGGGGAGGTTGCGCCTGAGCCCCGCCGCCCTGCTGGGCTGGGGCTGGGGCGTGAGGGAGACGGTGGAGCCCGAGGGGTTTTGTCAGCCCAGTGTGGTGGTCGGTGATTTCTCTCTCTTTTTTTTTTTAATAGCATGGAGAAGTTTCGCTGATTTTTGACGCAGTTCTTTTTTTCTAACCATCAGGTAGGGATTTTAGTGGAAGCCGTGGTCTGTCGGGATGAGTTTTCTGCTGCCCAAACTGACCTGTAAGAGGGAAGTGGATCAGGCAATAAAAAGCGTGGCCGAGAAGGTTTTGGTTCTCCGGTTTGGAAGAGATAACGATGCTGTTTGTCTGCAGCTCGATGACATTGTAAGAGCAATTTTTTCTTTTTAATACACTCTACTAGTATACCTGTTGCATACAAGAGAATGTCATATGTTGCTTTTGGATAATATGGCGTGTCGTGAAAATTTTGGTGACAAATGTAAAATGACATAATACTATATTCATAAAACGGTTTGAAAATTAAGCAAATGTTTATGTTATTGTGGTGGGTGTACAAAGTGCTTGAAGTAGATAAGACATGATATTCTAGCCCTGCTAGAATAGTCTGGAGAAGAGGAGGCTGAGGGGAGACCTCATCGCTCTCTACAACTACCTGAAAGGAGGTTGTAGCGAGGTGGGTGTCAGTCTCTTTTCCCAAATAAGTAGCAATAGGATGAGAGGAAATGGCCTCAAGTTGCGCCAGGGGAGGTTTGGATTGGACATGAGGAAAAATTTCTTTACTGAAAGAGTGGTTAAACACTGGAACAGGCTGCCCAGGGAAGTGGTTGAGTCCCCATCCCTGGAAGTATTTAAAAAACATGTAGATGCAGCACTTAGGGACATGGTTTAGTGGGCATGGTGGTGTTGGGTTGACAGTTGGACTCGATGATCTTAGAGGTCTTTTCCAACCTTAATGATTCTATGATTCTATGCTTAAACTGGTAAGACATAAGGGAAATGGGCTTTATAAAGCTTGCCACCCTTTTTCCTCTTGTGTCTCAATCCATTTGTCATCCATCTTTCTCACTCTTTTCAGCTTGCAAAGACAGCTCATGACCTAAGTAAAATGGCAGTCATTTACCTGGTGGATGTGAACAAAGTTCCAGTGTACACCCAGTATTTTGACATCAGTTATATTCCATCTACCGTATTTTTCTTCAATGGACAACACATGAAGGTTGATTATGGGTATGTCACCCTACCTGGCATTATCTATTCGGTCTGTAAGAATTACCAGTCTTTCTCTATGTTACCGTGTCTGGGGAAGGTAATGTTTGAAAGCTATAATGTTGTTACCAGCATCTGCATTGAGAACTCTGTAGGAAGCCAGAAGGATGTAAATTAAGAAGTATTTTGAAATATGCTCTGATGCAATAAGTAGGTGTCAGCTGTGAAACATGCCTGATGCTGCAAAAAATAGTATGGTTGAAGTCTTAGACATGACACTGCACCTTTTTGGACTTTGGAGGTCACGGTATATTCCTGACTTGGTTATGCCATTACCAGTGTGGTTCATTCTTTCAGAATGACCAAATCAGAACCCCTAATTTCATTATACATCTTTTCTCGTCTTTAGGTGTTTTTGGTTTGAACACTTTAACCTGACAATTCTACCTTTATCTTATGCTTATATTTAGGTCTCCAGATCATACCAAATTTGTAGGAAGCTTCAAAACAAAGCAAGACTTTATAGATCTGATTGAAGTGATTTACCGTGGAGCAATGCGTGGAAAGCTCATTGTGAGAAGTCCTATTGATCCCAATAACATTCCTAAATACGACCTTCTCTACCAAGGAATTTAATGGGTGGACCTGAGATAACGAGTTACGGAAATGGCCGGTGTTCTAGATCCCTTTTTTTCTTCAAGCATTTTTAGCCACCTCTGGCACCATGGGACAGTTTGAGCATTTATGTTGAAGGATCATATTGGTCTCCTTCTGAAGACGGACATTCTGTCACCTCGTACTTCTCTCTTAAATAAAGCTACATGTTCACACATAGAATTCACGCAAGTGACTCTTCTTTGAGTTGCATGCTGACCAGCGCCTACAAAACAGGCAGGTTGTATGCATCCTCAATGATGGCATCTCCAGTGCAAATTTCTCAAGTGAACTAAAGCACCGTGTAGTCTATTAATTGTCTATTTAGTACCACTTTCATTCAGATGCAATAACAGTAAAACTATATTTAAAATGTTATGCTTACTCTCAAGATCATTCAACTGACTGTGCCTTTCCAATGGAATTTTACACTTTTACCCATTACTGGATAACGGGATGGAAGCTTTTTCAAACAGTATTAGAGATGACTGAAATCTGCAATTGATATAAACACAAAAGGGAAGTTGACACTCTCTTTTCTCTGGTACCCAGTATTACTGTTCAGCAATTTTTTTAACTGAGATGGGAACTGAAGGTGTAGGACAAGGTTTTGTCGTCCTTCAAAGCTCTTTTGCAGCCACTGAGCACTTTTAATTCCCACAGGATTAAACTGGAAATACAGAATACTTGTTTTATTTACGTTCGCTTTAAAGGTTGTTTGACCTTCTGCTTGTATAAATTGCAAACCTTGAGTGCGGACATTTGAAAACTGCCTCTACTTCCCACCTCTGTCTAAAATTAAACAGCTGAGAGAAAACGGCAATGTCATTCTTTTGCATCAGTTTGGTAATTGCAGGTTGCTAGAGTATTGTATTTCTATAGCAGCTCATGCCCAGTAGCCTCACTGGCTTCGTTGGCTTTAAAACAGAAATTACTTCAGCTCACTGTATGGTGTTTGG